TCCAACCCCAACCATTCTGTGATTCTGTGAATTAAAGTTATTGAGAAAGTTTCCTCAGTTAATAGAATGAAATGCCTAAATACATGGTGTCCAGCTAAAACAATTCATTAGAAATTGCATTAGAAACAGAAATGCAGGAACAAACAGTAATAAATAAATATCGTTCAAAGAACATACCAAATCTTAAATAAAGGCATAATTCAAATCTATATGAATAAGTTGTCCAAGTGCAAAAATGTGTGTGGTGAATACAGGAAATCAAAACCATGGGGTTTACTTGACTGGACTATTACCTTGTAAGAAACTGAAGCAAACAATTATTATTTTTTAAACTCAAAAGGATAAAATTTAACAGTAGATGAAACATAAATGACAACCTTCTGCCATTAGCTGGCAAAATACAATGACCTACATTCACCATCTTGTATCCCTCTTGAATAGCACATTCTCACTAAATTAGAAGTTTTCCTTGTTAAGATCAAGTGAGGTGAAAGGCACCAATCAAACATTTTTTAAAGAGAGCCAGGCTAGTAGCTTATCTTAGGAAAACATATTGCTACACAGGAAGGAGAACAACCTACTTACATTTGTAAAGCAGGCAAAGTGGACATATTACAAATATAGAAAAAATATGCAAATATCTTTGTCCTTGTATACCTTCTAGTGGCTGTACAAGGTTACAATAGCTTTACAGTAACCAAGCAGGCAGAGTTAGCTCAAGAGGATAGAATCAGAATGCTCACCTCTACACTAGTTTTGTTAAATAGACTTAGTATACAAAAATTCATAAGATCAGTGTTCTGAATAGGCAAAAGTATGGATTATTTGAAGTGTTTAAGTTCACAACCAATTCTGTCTTGTTAGCTGAAACCAATGATCTCTGATCTAGGTTTTCCATATTAAAAGTGATTAAATTTATCAAGCTATTCATGTAACAAGTATACACCCAGGACATGTGCCTATGTTATTATGCCATATATATTTGCATGCAGTCACACTGTAGCAACATCATTAAGCGAAGTATTAGTTCTCCAGAAGTCCTTTAAGGATGGAAATGATCTGATATACAGGCTGCAGAGACTGTGTATGAGAGCCACTCATACTAGACATAAGTTGCATGAAACAGCAACAAACAGCTCAGTTTGCTTTAAAATAAAACAGGCCGTTTTGTTTGTATTTGCTGAAGAAGTGGATTATATCAGTGACCAAAACTGTCTTGCAGCATTGTGGTGACCCTGGCTGGATGCCAGGTGCCCACCAAGCTGAAAGTATAATGAAAGGCTCATGGGTTGAGATAAGGACAGGGAGAGATCACTCAGCAATTACCATCACAGGCAAAACAGACTTGACTTGGGGAAATTAATTTAATTTATTACCAATCAAATCAGAGTAGGGTGATGAGAAATAAAAACAAATCTTAAAACACCTTCCCCCCACCACTCCCTTCTTCACTCCTAACTTCTCTACCTCCTCCCTCCAAGCGGTGCAGGGGGACAGGGAATGAGGGTTGCGGTCAGCTCATCACACGTTTTCTCTGCCGCTCCTTCCTCCTCACTCTCTTCCCCTGCTCCAGTGTGGGGTCCCACCCATGGGAGACAGTCCTCCACAAACTGCTCCAGCATGGGTCCTTTCCACAGGGTGCAGTCCTTCATAAACGGGCTGCTCCAGCGTGGGTCCCCCACAGGGTCACAAGTCCTGCCAGCAAACCTGCTCCAGCACGGGCTCCTCTCTCCCCAGGTTCACAGGTGCTGCCAGGAGCCTGCTCCAGCGCGGGCTTCCCATGGGGTCACAGCCTCCTTTGGGTGCATCCACCTGCTCTGATGTGGGCTGCAGGTGGATATCTGCTCCACTGTTAACTTCCATGGGCTGCAGGGGGACAGCCTGCTTCACCATGGTCTTCACCAAGGATTGCAGGGGAATCTCTGGTCTGGTGCCTGGAGCACCTCCTCCCCCTCCTTCTTCACTGACCTTGGTGTCTGCAGAGTTGTTCCTCTCACATATTCTCACTCCTCTCTTCCGGCTGCTGAACATTCTGCAAGCTAACAGCTAACATTTAATTTAGTACAGTTTAAACATAAAAAGACAGTATAACAGACAATTTTAAAAGAAACTCACAAAAAAAACCCCAAAAACTAACCAGTAAATAAAAGCAAAGGATGGTACCCCAATCAGGGTACCAAGTCCTCTCCATGATGAAAGGGAAACAAAAAATACTCATTACTTTATGACTTATCAAAAGGATAAAAAGTGCATTCTATTTCTTCAATGAAAAGTACAGCTGGTGAAGCAGGAAGATAACAACAGCTGGAAGGAACGTATATAGAGTAGGCTTTTAGCACCCAATGTCTATTTTTTTTTAACTGAAAGATGCAACAGCTTTTGCCAGTGGTTAAACAGTGCTAGGAAAAAACCCAACCAAACTGACCTCTGACAACTGCTGAAGTGTTCAGCCTTCAAGGTACTACACAGTTGTGGGGGGGGATGTTTCTGGGGTATGTCATCATACTGTTAATTTATTTAAAAAAAAATTAAAACAAGAAATTAGGTACTTACGCTGCCAACATGATGAAGGCACAGGGTGAAGTAATTAAATTATATACCAAAACCTACATATTAATTATGAGAAACCTTGAAAATATGTTCTTGAAATGACATGTGATAATGCATGTTCACAAAGATAAAGAACACAATACATAGCAGATGTACAACATGTCAGAAGTAAACTGAATCCCAGTCTATATATGCAATAAATATCTCTTTTAATAAAAATAAGCTCTGTCTTCAGTACAGCATATAAAGCAACAGAGCTGTCCAGTCCTCAAAACATGGAAATAGTTTCCCTTCAGATACAGCAATTGGGAATGCAGCAGCAAGAGAGATGGCTGTATTCTATAGATAGCACATGCAGAATTGTTTCTGTACCCCAGATGACACTGGGAAAAAAGTTACATGATTGTACAGCTTAGATAGCTCTTCTTTTATGCGATTCATCTGCATAATTTTTTTAAGCGTATAGTCACAAGCAAAAACGTAAAAAACCTTGTATCTTTGTGTTTATAGACAGTTTCTGAAAGGTTAATACCTTTTTTATTTCTGAAGATCACAGCTAAACAACTGTTTTACTTGTCATTCATCCCCACACCTGGGTTTTGAAAATAACACTGTATAAGCTTGCCATCACTTCCAAAACACTGCAAGAGAAAAAGTAAGAGCTGTTAGATTATTCATGGGCTAGCACACACATGAAGCAAAACAAAAAAAAATTAGATAAATGTATCATGGCACAGTGCTATTGATAAGAAAGCTCATTGTAATGGGAGACATGACAACATACTGCATATGAAGGATTGCTTTTCCATAGATTGTATGAAATAATGTCACTTTAAATCATATTAATACAGATCTGTGAATATCAACTATATTACACTAAATTCAAGATATTACCTGCATAGCTAGGAACAATAGCAGATTTAAAGTGACAGAAGTAAATTGACAAGTTCTGTTGAGTACATTTGGAAAGCATATTCAAAATCAAAGTCACCTCATAGAGGGTCCCAACTTCCTGGTCTGGAGATGGAGAGAAAGATTGGTTTATATATAAACTGCAAGGAAAAAAAACAGAATATGATCTCCCTAGTAAGGCATGTAGAAGCATTCTTCAGCCAGGGGTGGGTAAATCTATCCACTATTCCCCCGTTTTTTAAAAATAATCTTTACAGTCCACATCAAACTACCAGTGGTTAGTATTTTCACTTCAGTGTGGAGGGGCAACAGGACTTCGAGAAGTCCCTCTGTCTGGCTAACCAGATCAATCCAAAGCAAGCATGCCAACTGCCTTCTCCTGCGAGTTCACCCATTAGTCTCCCATACGGCAGCGTGAAGTTAACTCGCTGGTTTAGCTCTTGCTCTTATTTTGAGGATCCAAACCATTCCTGC